GATCTAAATAATTGCTTTTATATATGGATACAGGTAGATACAATATTCGTGACCACAATTGCAATATAATAGGAAAAAATGCATTGAAGTAAAACAAATATTATTAAGAGTCGAAGTATAAATTGATACAATATGTTCATCCTATTGATTCTACCCCGAACAGATTAGATTCCAACTAAAGAGAATCAGACGAAATCCTCCTATTCATTTTGTGTTAGAAATGAATTATATTGATGATTGATTAAACGATTCCCAAACGGGGTTCACACACACAAATCTTTCTTTTCTCGTTAAAAACGGAAACATGTTCTTTAACAATAAAAGAGAGACCGCTTCTGATGAATTTAAATTTTAACAATTATCCAATCTACCCCTTAAATCCTTTAATAAGCAATACACAGAAATGATGTTTGTTGATTTTTTTTCTTTTCTCCTTTATCTTCTTCGTCTTCTTAAGCCAAAGGCTAATAATTTATCATTGATTATGCATAAAAGACAATTGTATTTCGTTTGATTTTTTTCTTTTTTCCAATTTTTTTTTCATTTTCGTTTAAAATTAAATATTTTTTTAATATCCGATAACAAGTGTAATAAGTACACATATACACATATACACACACACATTAACTCATCTGTCTAATTTAAAAGCAAAATGAGGTGTAGTAGTAACTATTCAAAATATTATACTAAAAAACTTTTACCAGGTGAAATTATTTCTTTATCTATTTTAAAATACAGTCAGTATAAAATATTTTTTAACGACAATTTCTTTTTCTAACAACGATGAAATGATATTCTACTATGTTTCAAACAATTCTGATATTTTTGTCTAAATGAATCGTTAAAAGATTATCAGAAATTTTTTACTTACAGATCAATCTCTCTCTCTATCTCTCTTCTATGCACATATTTACATATATCCTGTCTGTATACATTTATATATATACATACTTGCCATTAACTTTTAACGTGTGTTGTTCATTACAAGTGATGTATTTTTCCTCTCTAACAACTGGTAGTGTGTGCATCTAATAACTCTCTTGATTACTATTATCAAAATATGATTTGACACTAACTATAAGTCTATCTGTTTCCTATTATAAAAACAACATCGAAAAGAAAAGATAGTTGGCGTTAAATCCATGCACAGTATTTATTTACTATATGAGAAATGTTGAATCATATAAAATTACTATATACATCATCAGAAAATCTTTATACAATTACGAGCAAACATTTTTTCGAACTTTTAAGTTCTTGTTTATGATAAGATAAAAAAAGAATTTTGTTTTTTTTTTACATGGTAAAAATTATTTGTCTTCGAAAAAGAGAAAATATATTCTTAGATGTACAAAATTCATGTAATTGTACAAATTATTCGACATTATTAGAAATAATATACTCTCACTAAAAAGAAATGTTAACCTGTTATAAAATGACAAACAACACTGATGATAGTATGATATAGAGCAAAAAAAAATACTTTTTTTCTTGTATACAATTATATCAATATGTATTTGTATGTAATGAATAAATCATCGTTATGTTCATCATAATAATATTCACTCTGTGTATACAATGACAAGTGTTTCTTGAAGACAGATGTGTGTAATAATTAGAACAAGTGAGCTGAATACATACTACTAGTAACATGAATAATGATGATATATGACAAGTAGAATTATAGTTATACACTTTTTGTTTCTAAAAGAACATCGTCGATAATCAGATAACTTTATTTTTTCCTTAAAAGAAAAAAAAAAAATCCAACCATCAATTTCTGTATAACGATTATTATTATATACATACATAAAGAAAGAAAAACTCAAGCATTTAATGTATGATTGATTAACAGTTATTACAATACTTTAGATATCAAATAGTTGTCGCTCTATGATAATAGCTCATGGATACACGTTTTATAAAAAGATCTGCAAAAAATTATGCAAATAAGACGCGTTATTCATAGAGATAAAAAATAAACGACTCATTCTCACGTATTTTACTGAAAATTTTTCAGATTAACATTTTTATATCTGAATGGAATTAAAGTTTTACACTTTTTTTTGCAAAAGAACAGAGTCAATAATCAGATAATCTACTTTTTTTCCAGTTTATTAGCAGATTAATACTATAGGTTAAGTTCATATGAAACATGCCATTCCTACATCGACTTTCTATGCCGGTCACAAGATTCTAAACGCTTTGAAGGATTTGACGAAAATACTATTTAAATTTGATTTTCTACTAACAAGGGAAGGTCCCCGGGTGTTTCCCTGGAATTTCAAAGCAATGTACCCCACTTCGCTAATTTAAGGATGCTGATTACGAATCTGAAAACCATTCGTGCTCTCGTTCAATCCTTCAAGAGCTATAAGCATTTTATTTTAATCGTAGCGAAAAGTATCATATTTTGAACAAATCATAGCTTTCCATAGAAATGTTTAATAGAGCTGAGAGGTGTGCCATTCTACAGATAAACACCTTAGCTATAAAATGATATGTGTTTTAGCTTCAGAGAACGTTTGATTGTTAAGTCAAAAAAAGTTTTAAAATGTTGCACATTTTCCACTTGTTTTATGTTTCTTTTTAAAAATGTTTAAAAAAATTTGCCATATATTACCACAAGATTTCATTCTGTTGCATCATGGCAGTCGTGGTGACAACCAAGCTAAAACACATATCATTTTATAGCTAAGGTGTTTATCTGTAGAATGGCATATCTCTCAGCTCTATTGAACATTTCTATGGAAAGCTGTGATTTTTTCAAAATATGATACTTTTCGCTACGATTAAAATAAAATGCTTATAACTCTTGAAGGATTGAACGAGAGCACGAATGGTTTTCAGATTCGTAATTAGCATCCTTAAATTAGCAAAGTGGGGTACATTGCTTTGAAATCCCAGGGAAACATCTGGGGACCTTCCCTCGTAAGATGATATCGTCTGGATCGACTGAGATAATCATGTTTTTCTTCGTTTATTCCCTCTCAGAAATCCAGCTCAGACTTATAAGTTGCAAAATATCTCAAGAGCTATCTTTATACTTGAGAAAGTCGAATTAACGATGTTGTGAATTCAGACGACAAAAATTCATGGATTCGAGGCTCTTTTCTCAATGGTGAATGATCGATCATACTTCAAGAAAATAACGTTATGTACATATTTTAGAAGCGCAAAATGAATGAATTTGTTCCATCGTTGAAAATGATGTAAAACACAACTCAAATTTATAGTTTTCATACGTTACTGACGCCTATTAGTTTGTAAAAATATCTTATTTTAGATATTAAAACAGCAGAAGTATTGTATTTGAATTTAGTATCTAAAATTGCGTATGAAATGTTATTTTTATCGAAATATATTGATTTAATACTGAGAAAAGAGCCCAAAATCCAGAATTTTTCTAGTCTGGAATCGTTCAAAATGACGAAAATTGTGTCATCTTAATGGAAAGTATAAAATATAAATACCTCGAAACTTCAACCTACGGTAATCAAATTTAAAGAGTGTTGATCAAGCTCTACCAAATGTACTTTAAGATCTTGTCGGCAGCGCAGAAACTCGATACAAAGGTGGTAGGGTTTACGCAGATTTATCCTATAAAAAAATGAAATTTAAAAATGCAATGTTCACCTAGTTGATAAAATGTAGAAAAATAAGAAACTCAGTTATCAAAATATGTGTGTATAGAAAGATGTATAAAAAGCGAATAAAAGTATTCAGATCTCTGGATCCAATAGCTAGTGACTTCAAATATTGAAGAATTGATTTTACTAAAATGTAGACATAATTCTCTTCCATCTACTGTATGAATTTCAAGTAATACGTATCGGCTTTTAATGATTACTGAAATACAACTATTTGACGTTGATCTTCGTTAGCTTGAAAAGTTCGAGATTAGAAATTCATAACTTAACATACAAACATTGTTTTGACTTTGAAATTTTTTTCTCAAATATTCTACAGTATTCGAAGATTCCATGCTACTCTGTTGATGTTTGTTTGTTTTATAAAACTGTTAAAAATATTTCAACAGAAGTCTATAAATTCGGATGTATTATCGTTAATTACAAGCAGAATCGTAATATACAGTTGTCTTGCTTCAATATGCAAATATTTCCTGAATCTTGCATTCCGTTTGGATCATCATTGTGGATCTTTATAGAATTGTAACACGTTGGTGCGCGGTATTCAGTGTATTTTGTATCATATAGTTGCATATATTTTCTTACACAATCATCAGTACACTTTTTGTTGCCTCTTTATACTTCCAATAAGTCACTAAGACTGTGATAGTCGATCTCGTATTATTTTTTAATCGGATAATGATGACGTTAAATAAAATTCTATCGGCAACCAACATTTCTGAAATTCGATTCAATTTTATAAATACATTCTCATTCTAAATATCTATCGTTGACTGGTGATACACACTACAATAGTGCACAAGAATAAATAAAAATGAATATCAGTTTGACGAAGAGATTACGGAAGTGGATAATTTATGTAATATAAGATTACATCTCTGCATTTAGATTTATTGTGTTATACCGTAGTTATAATAATAAGAGGGTAGAGATGCAACATGTCTGAGAAACACAACATACCCAAGCAAAAGTGCTCCAGCCTAAATATTTAGATGCTTTAGCTGACGTATCGATATATATCTTTTTTACTCTTTTATCTAGATATGCTAGGTGAAGCATTGAGTTAGCTGGTTGCATTGCTCAATATATCTACATGTACCAAATTAAGGCCGATGCAAATGCTAATTCATGAGCAATGTTAACCAGTTTACATCGAAAGAAATATTTATCTGCATTTAGATGCATCGATCAGTAAATTGGCCACCGGGACGTATTAGGTGTTGCGTTTTTCGTGCTTGGGTATAACATTTCCAGTAGAAAAATATGAATTTATTTTATTTTTTATTAAGACAGTAATAGGACGGATAGTAATGTACAAAATAAATAAATACTTTAAGTATTGGTATTGTTTTATTGTTCTTCATTTAATGCCGAATTTATTAATTCACAAGATTGTGATGATGTTTCAAAAATCACATCTGTATTTCCTTTGGTTTTTAACAATTCATTCTCTTGTGTTAATCTTTCAAGATCATCAATTAACAATTTAGTTATCTTTTTTAATTCTTCATTATTTGTTTGTAATTCTTCAATTTTATGACTTTCATCTTTTTTTTTCTTCTGACCCAAAGGTTTATGTCTCGTTTTTAATGCTGATTGTGGATCATTATTAGCAAATAAATAATGAATAAATGAATCAGAATCCGTACGACGGTTAACATTTTCTAATGTATTTGATATTGGACTGTAATGTACGATTGTTGACTGTTTATTGATTACTGATGTTTTCGGTTTTGTTGAAGAATTTAGATGATTTAAATGGGTAGTTTCTGATGCCGAACGTGTTCTTAGTAAATGTTTTTCTGCTTTTGCCAACTAAAATAAATAAAAAAAAGAAAGAAAAGAAAATCATTTTTATTATATATTCTATTAAATCAATATGACATTAATACATTTATGACTATTGTCAAAGTTACCTTACAAATATTAGTCAATAATAACTTTTTTTTCAAGATAAATAGTATAAACATACTTGTTCGCATTTTTCTCTCAATTGACATATATGAATATTTTTTTGACATTGATTAATTTGTACATCGATATTCAAGTTTAAACTATCGTCTTTCAATTCATCTTTCATATCATTAAAATGATCTAATATACAATAGAAAAAAGAAATTAAATTAAGGTAATCAATATTAAATAGTATTTTCATACTAATTGCTTTTTGATAACATTGAAGAGCCGATTGCCAATTACGTATTTGATAATTATGTTCGCCTAAGCGAAAATATTGATGAGCCTATAGTAATATGAATAAAAAATAATTCAAATTAAATAAATGTGAGTTAAATTATTTTTACTACTTACTAATACAAGTGGAGAAGAATTGAGGTTGCACATCATTATATTACTGTCTAAATAATTTTTCTAAAAATTTAAAAAAAAAAAAGATTAAGTTAAGAAAATTCAATTTTTGTGTTTTTAACTAGAGAGCAAGTCGTTCATACGTTATACTTTATCTAACGTGAAATTAATTTAAGTTAAAATCTCTATAATTATTTTATTACAAGCAAAAATAGTTGAATCAAATCAAAATATCAAATAATCTGTCCATTCATTTTGAATTTCTCACTATAAAAAAAATGTGTATTACTAACGTTATTTTCTAACCTAAATAAAACTCTAATCAATCTTGTGTAAAAAAGAAAGAAAGTGTCTTACCTCAAGCATTATTTAAATGGTTAAAGTACACAATCACGTTTGTATTCAAGAATAATTTAAGATATTCAAATTGTATATCTTACACTATCCTATATTTCTAGAATTGCCTATAGACAACTGTTCGATAGCTGTGATAGTCCATCCATTGATACATAAAATATTACTAATGTATGAATCAATTATAATAAACAACGAATTTTTCAAGAATTCAGATGACATCTTTTATATTCAATATGAACTAAAAGATAGAGAAAAGATTCTCTAGAATTGTCAGAATCGCTTAAAAATTGTAAAATTTGTTCTTTTTTTATTAAATAACCATCAGATAATCATGTTTTCACTTTTTTAAACTCTTGACGTATCAAGAAAATGTAATTTAATAATAATATTATAATTATAGCAGTACATAGTTTAAAACAGATAAACAAACATATAGTATACACATGAAACCATTTCTTCTGTCGTGTGTACGTACAAAAAAAAAGTCAGAACTGGTTATGTTGGACGAGAGAAATAAAAAAAAACAACTCTTGATCATACACATAAACAACAATAGAACAAACAAATAAACACGAAAGACGTTGTATGGAAATATATGAAAAACGGTATTGCGAGGAGCGCACAGAATAGCAATAATCTTAAGAACAAATGAGGTAGAATAGATGGCTATGAACTTAAAAATGAGAGAGAGAGAGAGAGCGAGTAAGTGAGTAGGTTAATTTATTGCATGAAAAAAGAGAAAAGGTCGAAAACTCTTTACTGTTGCGCAAATTAGACACATACCGCACAAGAGGACGTTGCAAAGATCAGTAAAAACAAGAGTTGTATTACTGCTTCTTCGAAGATGAAAATACGTATAACATCAAAACGACTAGAATAATTCCGAAGATGTGAGAATCTTAAACAATAACAAAAGTCTATCAACAACCAAAACGGATTAGGAGGAAGTAAGGGATAAAGAAAAAAGAAATACATAGAGATTATAGTCAAAAACCTGTACAACAAAAGACAGAATCCGCTTTGTACATATAGTTTTATAGTCAGGTTTTAAACTCTACCGTGTCGGAAAATGATATGAGGTTCAATTCAAAAAACAAAAAAAACACACGAAAGAATAAGAAATGATACAAATGTAATCATACGGATATCTAAGACTAATTTATCCTAAATGATAGTCACTGTTTTAGAAAAGTCTAGGCGAGAGAAAGAAAGAGAAAGAAATTTGAGCTGTGCGATAGATTTTTTTTTCTTCTCGTCTATGTGTAAATTATCATAGGTGTACACTCGAACGTTTCGATATAACTGATTTCACGATTAATTTAGATCCATGATCACGTTCAAGTCGTATATCGCTAATATCAAGTATCGATTGTGTCGGTTGTAAATTATGAATTAATGATGGATAAATCTTAAAAAAACTATGATTCATCGCATCATTAGCTGAAATACGTTCAAGTGGATTATAACGTAAAAATTTTTCAACTAAATCAATTCCGGTTGAATCTAGACGTGGTGCTAAATTTGTTAATGATTCACCGTTATAATTTGTTACACGTAATTGTTGAAATTCAACATTTGATGTTACACCTGGCATTGTTTTCTCAGTAGGTGTTCCTAAACATTTAAATATAAGATATAATTCTTCTTCAACTTTTGTACCGGGAAATAACGGTCGACCACATGCCATTTCGAAGAAAATACATCCAACCGCCCATATGTCAATTGGCGTTGAATACTCTGTGCTACCTAATAGTACATCGGGTGGACGATACCACAGTGTTACAACTTCATGTGAATATGTTTTTGTTGGAAAACTTTTTATTCGTGCTAAACCAAAATCAGCAAGTTTTAATTCACCACGTTCATTTATTAATAAATTTTGTGGTTTTAAATCACGATGTAAAATTTTACGTGAATGACAATAATCTAACCCACGTAATAACTGATATAAAAATAATCGAACATTTTTAATATTCAAGATATTAGCACAATCATCCATGTATTGTTTCAAATCTCTATCAACATATTCAAATACTAATGTTAAAGTTCTTTGATCAAATATAATATCGTGTAATGTTACAATATTTGCATGTTTTAGACCTTTCAATAAACTAACTTCCCGTAATGCTGTACAAGGTGCACCTAAACAACAAAAATAATAATGATAATTCTACTAAATTGAAGAAAATCAAAATATTTCACATTATTTTCTCACCTTCTTCTTGTTCTAAACGAATTTCTTTCAATGCTATATAGCCACTGATTAAATGGGAACGACCTTTATAAACGGTGGCATAAGTACCTAGAAATAAAAAGAAATTGTAGAAATCATGAGCAAACATTTTTTTGTTATAACGTTTAAAGAGTTTTAACATAGACAAAAATTAATTTACCTTCGCCTAATTTTTCTAATTTCTGATAGGATTCTATTTTTCCATAGCCTAAATCAAGCATTGATAAACGTTGTTCATTTCGACTTTGTTGTCCTCCAGTTATGACCGACGATGTTGGAGATGATAATCTTAGTAAAGATGAACTTGATTGATTAATAACACTATTTAACGTTTGAGATGATAATGAATTTGTTTGATAATACGACTGATGATTATGATATACATTATTATTCATTGTTGTCTTTATTTTGCTATCATTTGTTGTCATTGTTGGCGCATTAATGTTAGTGTTTGTTGATGCTCCTTTGTTCATTGAAAAATCGCTGTTAACTCGTTGAAAACCATTTTTTAATTCAGGTGGTAAAGATATACGTAGTTTTAGATCTCTTAAAGTTTTCTTCTTTTTTGAGCTATGATCACGCATTTTTACTTTTTGCTGTGGTTGCGGCTGTTGTTGCGAGTATTCTTCGATAGGTGTTACTATTACATTATTAGAATTACCTAAATTATCAAAATATTTATGTTTCGTCGGTGGTGAAGGTGGACAAGATACGTCTCGAATATGATGAGCATGTAGTTGGTCTAAAATAGAAAGTCAAAAATGGAAATTAGTTTCGAAGAAAAAAAATGAAATTACGTACTTGAAGATATACTATTATTTGGATGGTTTATTGCTGAAACGCTATTTGATAAATGTCCGTTATGAGACGATGAGCTCAATAGGCTACTAACTTCGCCATGTAAACTAATAGAATTGGATAATAATTGTTTATTACTGTTGTTATTATTATTATTATTCGATAAAACTGCTAATGCTGTACCAATATTAGATGTAACTGATGTGGATGATTTTGATTGTTTCATCATATCTGTTCCTCCGTTTTGATTAGACGATCCTGATTTACCTGTGGCATATTTATTTGATGTTGACGAATGAATTGACGGTGATGAAGTATGAGCTGAGATATACGATGAAGACGATGAAAGACTGAGACTTGGCGCTATCCTTTGTTGTTGTCGTTGTTCTTGTTGGTGCTGCGCTATAAAATCATCGTTTTCATAGTGTCGATGTGACGATGACGTCGATGCTTGATTATTGCTTTTCTTCAATACAACTGGACAATTTTCTTCTTCGGGTATTGGTGCAAATCCACTTGTACTACCGTTACATAAAATACTTGTAGTTGAACGTGTTAAATTTGCGTAATCATTTAAATTATATTGACTAGATGGTTCTATATCGAATGATTTTGAACCTGCTGTTGCATTATTCAAACGTTGATAAACAAGATCAGATGTTATTGTTCCTGGTGTTTCTAATTGTTCTGAATCCAAAGTTTTATTGGGTGCAGTAGTAGTAGTGGGAAAAGATGTTGGCGAAGCAATAGTGGCTAAACTCGTATTTGTACTCTGACTTCGTTTAAGATGAAATTTTTGTGAAAAATTTCGAAATGATGATCGACGTTTTTTCTTTTCTACATCCATTTTTTTACCTGTAGAAGCGTCTTCTTGTTTTTGCTGTTGCTGTGACGGTTGTAATTTTTTTGTTGATTTCTGTTTTGTTGTCGAATGTTGTTTGAAATTTTCACCATTATGTTCCGAATAAGAATTTGACATTTTTTTATTTTGTTTATTATCACTATTTATATTACTATCATCTAATGTTAAACTTTTGATGTTATCATAACTTAGATCACGTTGAATCGTATGAGTTTTATAAAATGATTTTGGTTTATTTACACTTTTTACATCGTAATCACTATCATTATAATTCGCTAAGTTTGATGATGAACGTACCATTGACGGATGATGTTGTTGTTGATAATTTGAATTATTCATTTTATTGATAGAATTTGAAGGGGGTATACCATTTGTCGTTGAAAGATTCAATTGAGAATGATGACGAGGATAATTAACGTAGGCCATTGGCGGTTTTGAATGACCATGCGAATGACCGTTTGTACGATCAATTAAATTGTTACCATTATAATCAGTAGTCAATGAATCATTTATTGATGGTATCGCTGCTATATTGTTTGATCCAGTTGACGTTGAAAATGAACCGATCGATGATGTACTTCGAGGCAATGTAAAACGTTTAAATGTTTTGGCTATTGTTGAACTGACCTCCATTAAATTTCAATTCTATACAGAACAAAAATAGTGTCGATAACTAAGCAATGAACAAATAATCGCTACAGATTTAGGAAAGAAATATAAAAGATTGGTTAGTCATTGGTAATAACAGAACTACTTCATAAACGACAGAACATGTAGCAAGCAGGATCATCTTAAAACGTTCAGCACACTTTTCTCTTCAATTTAAGACGTTGCACAGCACCGGACGTGCGTTTTTGTTCGAAAATTATAGGAGAAACAAAATGCAAAAAACCGTAACGAAACTACACTGTAGTAGCAGAGTTATGTGGATAAGTTGTATATTCATTTTCTATTTTCTCTTTTTTGAGTTAACTAGTTTACTTACACTTTATGAACGTTGTTTTCTATTGTAAATTGTAATTGTAAAAATATCTGATATTAGCTTGACCATATTCTGAGGTTTTTGAAAAGTTTATAATAATAATAATTCATAATCAGTTTTACGATGTCTTTCAAAACAAAAAATAAATTGTGAATGTTACTTCGTCGTAGTAAATATAGTCACGTTTAATGTAGATGAGAAAAAATTATGATGTCATATGTTTGCATCTTGATGAAAAAGAGAAAAAAAAATAAATGTAAATAAATAAAAATCTAAAAATAAGAGAAATAAATCAAAAAATACCTTTGGTTATTTATTTACGTGTAGGCAAGTTAAAAAAAACAGATGATTTTAACGTAAAAATGTATGACACATATACAAGTAAGCATACCTGATTATTATGCGAAAAAAAAAATAGTGACGAGATGATTTATAGACAGTCAATATGGAGAAAAAGGTACATTTTTAGATGAATAAGCTAAATAAATAAATACTTGTTTTTTTCTGACGACATTTAGTTTTAATAAAAATAACTCTATTAGTAGTTTATCTGTTGCGAAGATAGTCACTAAATTTTCATTTCCATAGAAGTCTTAATATGTCAAAATACAGTTTCGTTAAAAGATTTTACCGTTAAAAAAATAAAAGGAAAAATATGAGTAATACTGATTTTTCTCTTTACTTGTATCTGACGTTTTTTAACGAAAGAAAAAGAAATGCAACGATGTATTACGAACTATTAATACTTAAGTTTTATCATAATTTGAATTTTTTCTAATTAAACAATAGAAAATTTTTCAAAAATAAAGTCACACATTACATGCCCTAGGGCGATCTCGCGTCGTTTGCTTTTCGTGAAAATAAATAATTACTATACACCTATGTTCTCTCTCTCTTTCTCTCTCATGCTCTTCTTTTCTTGTCATTCCGTAAAACATGGTCAATTTCATTAAAAAACATATAGAGCCGACATGGCACATCAAGTACACAAAAAATATAAAGGACAAAGACGAACAAACTCGTTCGTTCGGTTTACGATTCATTTATCATATATACCGATTTTTTTTTTAAAATGTGTTGTAATAATATCATCGTAAGAATAATTGCCGAATATTTCTTTATGTTTTAGTTCTTACTCACAAAGATATACAGAAATGTATACATATACAAAGTTTATTTGTAACCTCTTCTTTGCTTTGCTTAGAAACAAAATAAAAATCCATTCCTCGGTCATTTATACAAATATGTATATACTACGACTAAGATGTAATAACAACCAAAAACATATTACCTTCAACGTATACTACTTTAAAAAAAAAACGACAGAAAGAAAAAATCTTTCCCATATACATATGCACGTTCTTATTACAAGAATGGCCATGTCTACAGAGGAAAAAAAAATATGTAGACTCTATGAAGAAAAAAAAAAAAAAAAAAATCGAACATGGAATCAATCATTATTCTAATAATTCATTGCGAACAAAGGATATAGAAAAACCGATTCTCTTCTCTTTTTTATTTTTTTCTTCTCTTCTTTATGTCTTATAGTACAGAAAAGACTAAATGCGAGAGATTTTTGTTTTTCATTCAAGCGATATGTATATATAAATATATATATATATATATAATATACATAAATAGTATGCGAGAGTTTTTTCTGCTTAAATTATCATCATCAACATCTTCTATACTGTCGAGTAAAATAATAATGTACTAATCTTCTTCTTCCTGTTTTAAAAGAACGAAAGAGAACAGATGTCAAATTAGAGACGGAAAAAAGAACGAACTAAGAAAAACAAACAGAAAAGTTTTGTCTAATAGTTTCATTTTTATATTAGGTGTGTACAGAAAAACAACATTTTTGTAATGAAAAAAATGTGATATTTTCTTAATAACAAAATTAAGTGTTCACCCATCTTTTTGGATAAATTAAGTATACTTCCTTCCGAGACAACTACTATGTGGAATCATGCAGAAAAAAGGAGTCCAGACAGTAAAAATAAAATAAAATTGAAAAATAAATTGAGCATATGTCGCGTCATTCGTAATGATGGCCGTTTTATGTTTTTTTTTCTTATTTCATTGAAAATTATGTAAATTCCTAAACGTGACATCGGATATCGTGGGATAAATAAAGAGCTTTTTTTTCTTTTTTCTTTTCTTATATATATATATCCTGTCTATAGTTATGATTAATCAATATAGTTAGGCTATCGTACATTCTTTTACCTTGTATACCTTGTACATAATAAATTATATCTTTAACACTGTGTATACAGACATTGATCCACGATGGATAAAATCTCTGTAATATATTTTAAATTGCCTATAACTCATAAAAAATGTGTTTTATTTCAAAAAATATCGTCGATGAATAAACTTTTTGTTTTTTAAAGATACTCTTTATGGAAAAACGTAGAAAGCAAACAAAGAAAAAATAATAAGAAAAATGTTTCTGATTTGTTTCCGGTTTCAATATAGTAACATAAAAGAAAAATGGCTTTGATGTCACGTTTAAGTACTAGAGTATGCAAATATACAGGCGCAGTAGTTTCTATTACTATCGATAAATGATATTAATAACAGATATAAAATAACAAACATTTATCTCTATTGTCTCATTAGCGAACAAAAACTATGTTGGATAATGAATTTAAGAATATACGTATAAACAGTGGTATAATGTTGAACGTCAGAAAAAATGTATCTACTAAATGATATTCACACTACTATCATTTTAGATAATAGGAAATGTCTTTCATATGTTAATTTCTAATTACATCATATGCTCAATCTATTTTCGTATTACGAAACAATCTTATTCTTGATTTTTTTATCTTAAATAATCAATATAAAGATCTAATAGTAGATAATCGTGTATGATAGACCAAGTCAATAAATTTTTTATATATTATATTATACACTGAACATTTTACAGACATCTGAATCATATTAAATTTAATAACTCTTTCATCAAATCTTTTTCTTTTGCAATTAATTTGGATTGAAAGATATCATATGAAAAGGTATGATAAAAACTTCAACTAATGTAAACACTATACATGACGCAAATACTATCGTTCCTAACTATTTAATAAAAAAAATAACCCCTCGTTTGTTGAAGTGTATTGGTACACGCCCAAACTATAACGAAAAAATGTATATGTAATGTATGTGTATATTAATGTTTATAGTTTTCTACTGTGAGAGCGCATAAACCTGTATTATGCTTATTTTGTAACTTCATTTAATGTGCACGTGAAAACAATGACTGTGATTTTATTTTTTCAATCATCGTCAAAAACAAATTCTATTAAAATTTATAAAAAAAAGAAAACGGAAGGAACAATTCTTCTTGTTGTAAAAGTACATCACTCTAAGCATTTCCAACCTCTTCAGTTTTTGTCAAATGTCAACATAATCTTTTAAAACTCTTCATAAAGTTAAACATCGAGTAAATACATTATCACCATTTTGTGACAAAAAAAGTCATTTTTAAAAGAAATATTTCTATTATCGTTCTATTTGGTAATGAAGACAAATAACAAGAAAAAAAATCTTGTTAAATTTGAAAAAACAAGACTGTTTTTAGTTTTTACTCTTGACTGCAGTCAGACATGCGACTTCATGAAGAAAACAAAAAATGAATTATACGCTATAAGAAGAAATAGGAAAACTCTTTAGACTCATGTCTCATAGAACAACGAAAGAAAAATACTTTATTTGTTTATTACATTCTAAACTTGTTACAGTATTTAAGAGCTTAATCAAATATTGACGTCTGTGAGTTTGAAACTATTTCTCTTAAAGTTTGTTTCTTATCTCAAGTTTCATCTTGAATGTCATGTTACCCTTTTATACGTTTGTCTTAGCGTTAATATACATATATTTCTTTTTTACTCACACTCTCTTTACTTATACTCTTATTCACAACGACTATACTCTTCTCAATAGATGTTTACACGATCACATATATTCATTCTTTGGTTTTCAGGTTAAGTGATCCATGTGTGTTAATCAAAGTAAACTTTATAGGCTATATATATATCTGTATATAATACCGTATATCTATCTATCACATGTATATTCTTTAATAAAGAACGAGAAATAAAATGAACACACGAACATAGAGTACCAGAGAATGTATAAATAGCTTTTCTGGAAAAGATCGATGATGATGACTCGTGAAATAGACAGATAATTATATTACTAAAGTATTTCAACAGAAATAGAATGGTATTTCAAAGAAGAAAAAAAAAAAGTCATAAATAATTAATTATTAAGGTGTTGCATAAATTTGATGGTCGTGTCAAGTTCATACGAACTTTGTATATTGTTGTTATTATATACATTTAGTTAGTTATACAATATTGATTGTGTTGTTATTCTGTCCTGTCCTTTTTACTGATAGAAAACAAAGCAAACAATAAAAATGAGATATGTATATAAGATAACTTGGTTATTGTAAGTATATATGTCTACACATTCTGTTTCTATTTTCTATTTGAGTATATGGAATGATTAAGTCAGAAAAACATCTACAGTATATTATTGGAATAATTATAAGAAGAAATAGAAAAAAAGATTTAGATTACTCATTTTCACAGTAGGCGGGTTTCACATGATGATAGTCATTGATTATAAAAAATCA